TTTTCCCGCCAGTTTGGAAATCCCATCCCGTCGGTTTCAATCCCATCCCGAAAATTCTATTCTTTTCCCGCTCCACCCTTATTCTGTTTCCCCGGCATCCTACCCCCCCCATCTCGGCATTTTCAATCCCATCCCATCAATTTCAATCCCATCTAGCCACTTTTAATTCCATTTCGCCACTTTCGTTCCCATCACGAAGATAACCCTCCATTCGTTTTTCATATTCAATCTCAGACACCCTCGTAACCTTCCTAGACCTCTCTTTTACCCTAGCTTACTCTCTCAAACCCCCTCTTTTACCCTTCCAGACCCCCCTCATTTACCCTCTCAGACCCCTCTTTCACCCTTCCAGAACCCCCTCATTTACCCTCTGGGAGGGATATAGGCTTTACGGGACTGTTTACGTAATTTAAAGTGACCCTTCAGTTCTATTCCGGCATATATCCGATTCCTTAAAAGTGTCTTGCAGATTTCTGCAAAGAAACAATGGAGGAAGTTCTAATAAACCATCTCATTTTTTTAAAGTAGAATAACGACAATATCTTTTTAATTATTGATCAGATAAAGGCTTGAATCACTTGAAAATACAAGGACAGTTCTATAAAAACTAGTTATGGATCCAAAAACTAGTTATGGATCCAAAAACTAGTTATGGATCCAAAAACTAGTTATGGATCCAAAAACTAGTTATGGATCCAAAAACTAGTTATGGATCCAAAAACTAGTTATGGATCCAAAAACTAGTTATGTATCCAAAAACTAGTTATGGATCCAAAAAAGTTCGGGAAAATTTAAACTTTAAAATGAAATTTCAAATTCCTATTATTTGAAGAATATTCATTATGTATTTATATTTGACATTTATGGAGCTACGGCTCCACAACAAAACTGCATTTATGGAGCTACGGCTTCACAACAAAACTGCATTTATGGAGCTACGGCTCCACAACAAAACTTCATTTCTTGAGCTATGGCTCCACAACAAAACTTCATTTATGGAGCTACGGCTCCACAACAAAACTGATTTTATGGAGCTACGGCTCCACAACAAAACTGCATTTAAGGAGCTACGGCTTCACAACAAAACTGCATTTATGGAGCTACGGCTCCACAACAAAACTGCATTTCTTGAGCTATGGCTCCACAAAAAAACTTCATTTATTGAGCTAAGGCTCCACAACAAAACTGCATTTATTGACCTACGGCTCTACAACAAAACTGCATTTATTGAGCTACGGCCCCACAACAAACTGCATTTATTGAGCTACGGCTCCACAACAAAACTGCATTTATTGAGCTACGGCTCCACAACAAAACTGCATTTATTTAGCTACGGCTCCACAACAAAACTGCATTTAGGGAGCTAATGCTCCACAACAAAACTGCATTTATTGAGCTATGGCTCCATAACAAAATTGCATTTATTTTTCAAATATGATTCAAATATAAGATAGTTAGTCACCAGTACAAATCTTAAGTAAGGCCGTCCTTTCTTTTTGCAGATTTACATTTCTATTTTGTGAATAGAATTTAAAATTTTATTCATGTAGCTTAACTCTATTTCTACATTTGTGGGGAAAGTCCAATACATCTTAACTTTAGAACTCGTTTTCATTCATCAAATATACAGTTTTTGTATTTACTGTTTTATACTTTTTTGTAGATCTGTTCATTCTAAAAATTAAATTATACAGAATATCTTACATTATTTTTGACAGATTTTTAATGAAAGATCAAAGCATGACTGAAAATATTCTGATACAGACAAATTAGTTTTCCGCACCCAAACCTGAACATTGCTGAACAATAAAGTTATTGAGGTGCAATACATGTTCAAAGCCCAATATCTTTTAAGGCCATCAAACAAATTAAGATCTAAAGCTAATGAGGTTTAGGGTGCTATAAGAGGCTTTAAAAAAATCAACAAGTACGTCAAAAAAAATGAATAAGCAACACATGTTTCTACAGATATTTCAAGCGGTTAAAAAATATAGATTTTAAATTAGTGGCTAACATTTTTTTTTAATACAAAGATCTTTTAAAACACCATGACCAGATTTTATATCGTATTTTCTTATTGAAATGAGAGTGCTACACTAAAGCAAAAATAACTATAATGGGGTGGAGGTAAATAATTTCTTTCATCTATCATGAATTGGCAAATCTATTAAGCTTCAGGATTAATTATTTTCTTCTTGCATTAAATTATTTTCTTCCACGTAATATATGCAATATATTTACAATTTATAAGAAAAGTTGTTAGAAGCTTTTGAACACAACAACCTTTAAACTTAACCCTTACACTATTGTGCATGAGCTAGGGGAGAGGGGTCTAAATATTTTTGGACAAGCGCCTTTACTGGGATTTTGCACACAGTTTTTATTGAAAAAAAAACACAATTATGTTTACAAAATGCTCCAAATATTTTTCTACATTTGAATCTAGGTCAAGGGCTTTTCAAAAATGTGTAACTTGTCATATTTCGCACACATTTCAGCCAAATAACTCGATTTCGCATCAAATATTAATTGATCAATTTCAGTCTGCTATTAATTAGGCCGTGTTACAACAATATCAAAAAACAAATTGATTCGCCTGTTTTAACGCTCATCAACAGACAATACAAAATAGAACATTTCAATAATGTCTAGTTAGATGTAATTGGAGTTGTTTTTTAATAGGGAATTCTTAAAATGTTAAATGTTAACAAATAGTGGTTGCTTAAAAATACTATCATAAGTTAACCTATTAAAAACGAAAAAAGTGTCCTAATATTGTTATAAAAAAGTGTCCTAATATTGTTATAAAAAAGTGTCCTAATATTGTTATAAAAAAGTGTCCTAATATTGTTATAAAAAAGCGTCCTAATAATGCTATAAAAAGCGTCCTTATAACGTCATGAAAAAGCGTCCTAACAATGTTATAAAAAAGTGTCCTAATAATGCTATAAAAAAGTGTCCTAATAATGCTATAAAAAAGCGTCCTAATAATGCTATAAAAAGCGTCCTAATAATGTTATAAAAAAGCGTCCTAATAATGTTATAAAAAGCGTCCTAATAATGCTATAAAAAGCGTCCTAATAATGTTATAAAACAGCGTCCTAATAATGCTATAAAAAGCGTCCTAATAATGTTATAAAAAGCGTCCTAATAATGCTATAAAAAAGCGTCCTTATAATGTTATGAAAAAGCGTCCTAATAATGTTATAAAAAAGCGTCCTAATAATGCTATAAAAGGCGTCCTAATAATGTTATAAAAAAGCGTCCTAGTAATGCTATAAAAAGCGTCCTTATAATGTTATGAAAAAGCGTCCTAACAATGTTAAAAAAAAAGCGTCCTAATAATGCTATAAAAAGCGTCCTAATAATGCTATAAAAGGCGTCCTAATAATGTTATAAAAAAGCGTCCTAGTAATGCTATAAAAAGCGTCCTTATAATGTTATAAAAAGGCGTCCTAATAATGCTATAAAAAAGCGTTCTAATAATGCTATAAAAAAGCGTCCTAATAATGCTATAAAAAGCGTCCTAATAATGTTATAAAACAGCGTCCTAATAATGTTATAAAAAAGCGTTCTAATAATGCTATAAAAAAGTTTCCTAATAATGTTATAAAAAAGCGTCCTAATAATGCTATAAAAAGCGTCCTAATAATGTTATAAAAAGCGTCCTAAAGATTAACAAAGCAAAAGAGAAAAGAAAAATGAAGATTAAAATTACAAAGAAAAACAAAAGAGGGGGTTCAGAACATAAATGAAAATGTTGGGGGGGGGGGGCCTAAAAGAAAGGCTTAAAAAGTAAGGGGGCCAAAAAGAAAAAAAGAAAGAAAATTAAGGAAAAAAGATACGAATGGAATGAGACTGGAAATTATTGGATATATATAAAAAGAAATAGGTAAAAATGGAAAGATAATGAACAAAAAAGTTTAATCAAATGAACACAAAAACTAAATAAAATGATAGAATATGAAATTGTCTACACAAAAAGTGTACTGCAATTTGTGAGGAGTAATGTAAACACAGCCTTCCAACAAGTTTATTTATATTTTGCTTGCCGGGGAAAATGTAAACAATGAAGTACAAATGAAATTTCCTTGATTCAAAAATTTAACATTTCTTAGAAAGAGGAAAGAAAAGAAAAGGTTTGGTTTCAATTTCAACCTTTAGATATTCTTATTGAATTAGTGAAGTTTAAATCGACAATTATATGAATTCATTCTAGAAACTTGAAAACTTATATTTCTCCTTGATCTTTAAGGAATTGTAGTTGTAACTTAAAGTGAACTTTAAAAAAGAGTGATGTCCGACTCACAAGGGTGCTTTTCAAATAAATCGTTATCTGACCAATAACTTGGAAGATATTGTTGTTTTTTTTTTTAGCTAGAAAGTGTTTATATTTACATGTAACCCTACAGCGAAACCACAATTGAATTCAATTCATTAAAAAAAAAGCATGCATATGTTATGAATTTTTCTACAGACAAGGTTATTAAGGGTTCCGTTGTGAACTGGACAAGCCCCTCTTTTAAATGGAGAGTCTCTTGAAAACCTGGTTCAACTGCTTCAACTGCGCAATCAATTTAAAATAGATTTGTAAAGAAATTGTAAAGATTTGAGAATTTTTTTTTATAAAAAAGAAATCAGTAAAATATGAAATTTGTTAACGGGTGTCTATTTAGACATTTTATCTATTAAGAAGATTCACCATGTACAATCAGTGTACAATGAAAAGATTATCTATGTGCGTAGTCGTGCACATGGTCATATGCTCGATTTCATTTACTTATACGTAAGACCCAGATTCTCCACAATAGTTCTAGGATGATATTTTTTTTATTTGTTTAAAGTATTTTAACAATTTTCTAAGGGTTTTACTTTGCACAAAAGATCAAAAGATAAGAGCGAGAACCATAGCGCCCCGCCGTACAGGGTTAAGATTGTTCATGTACAGATCAAAGTTTTTTTTGCGTACACTGTACATAGCTAAGATTGTTTATGTACAGTTGCTGGTGATGGACCAACTCTGATAATGGTCAACTCTATGATTCGATCCATTTCAAAAATAGACGATTATAAAATGGTGAGTAAAGGGAGGGAATGCATCACAGGGCATGCTGGTTACCGGCATGCATTCTTTGCTGAATGGTATAGCATGCACAATAAAAAGAAATTAGGCCCCGCCCCGCCTGTCATGGAAATGGGAATTTTTAAACATGCTTTGAAGCAAACATATTTTTGTCGGGGGGGGNGGGAGGAAACTTTTTTGACTTCCGAGATATCCTTGGACATTAAGAGAATGTTGTTTAAAGCATGCAAAAATAGTTTCCTGTCTGTAGGATCAACGCAAAAAAGTTTAAAGTTGGATCAATGAAATTGTTTTTCAAAAATCAAAACAGAAAATTGAACTTTATCGAAATAAAAAATATTTTTCTTATGTTAAAAATAAATAAATGTGAAAGTAATGGCTTAAAAAAAGTTCACAATGAGATTGTAATAGTTTTTTAATAAAGTTTTTATTAAGCAGAAAATGATTCTTTATTATTCTTAAATAATTTTTTCTACTGATCTTTTCTTTAGCTCTAAAGATTGGTTAGATACATATATCTGTTGAAATGATATATCGTATTGATATTTTTTATTTTTTATTTATTAGTTTGTTTTTCACATATTTAATCGAACCAAGTTACTTATTTGTTCATATTAAAGTCTTGATTGACTGTTGGAAACTTCCTGGTATTTATTTAACAAGCTAAAGAATTAAAGAACAGTTTACTCAGAAACTAGAAAATGCGGGAACACTCTCAGGCCGGAAAATCTGCAAGAGAGATAGTAACACATGATCGAAACCTTGTTCCAAAGAAAACCAATCTCGAATCCAGATTTCAAAATAAACAAATGGCAAACTTTAGTTTTAATTATTTAATTATTATTATAAGAATTCTTTCAGCATGAAACATTTCGTCTTTGAATTGACATATAACTATTTTTCTTAAGGTCACGAATTAAAAGCGAAAAATATGTTATTTGATTGGTGCATCTAATTGAATATTTTTGTGTTTGTGCTGAATTTACATCGTAATTTATTTTACTTGCTTTAGAGTAGTTCTGAAATCGTAATGGATAATTGTTGATCTAATCTCAAATTTAATCACAATTATCAAAAATAAATGTACCGAAAAATGTTGACACTATCCAAATAAATATATTATATTATATATATATATATATATATATATAACAACATAGAATCATGTTTCTAAGATTTTTTTGTAGCGCGCGCAACAAAAACTAGATTTTTGAAATTAAGCATATATATTATATAAAAACAAATATTTGTTTCTGTGTGTTTTTGTGTGTCATTGTATCTTTTGTTGTTATAGACGTGTGAATGGCCCTGAGCCGAGTTTGTTTAGAGTTAATCTGTACAAAATTAAATTTTCCACGATTTAAAGATTTTTCCAATAAAGAATTATGATTCAAATTTGTAAAAATAAATTAAATATGATCTAAATTTGTTTAAATTTTCAGCTTCAACTAATTTTGAAATTTAGTTTCATCAAACAAAAAATCTTTATAAATGGTACAAAATATACATTTTTAAAATTTAAAATTGAATCATTTTAATAGAATTATACATTCAGGAAATTGAAAATACTTATCATCCCTGATAAAAAACTTTCCGATAAAGATATATTTTATTCAAAATATCAACTTACAGTTAAGGAACAGACATAATTACGATAATAATCGGCATTAAAGTAATTTTTGAATAAAAGTGCTTGCACAAAGGTGTGTATGCTTGCATGTTTGTGTCTCGCTTGCATGTTAATTTCTCTAAACTTCTTTGTGTATCTTAATTTGCATGCTATTTATTTAAAGGATTTCTCAAAAATTTTGACCAAGATTTCTCAAATCCAATTTTGAGAACAATTTTAGATTTTGGTTTATCAAATTTCTGAACGACCCACCTAAACTATGGTCCCTACCAAATACTTTATATTTCGCATTTTGTAAAAAATAAAGAGATTGTCAACGATTTTTGACTTAATGAACTTCGTTAGAAAATCACAGTTCATAGATCTCACAAAGGCCATTTGAAATTTTTAATAAAAGCTTTGAATATAATTTTTTAAATAAAAAAAAAGATTAAATGTAATTTCTGTGTTACCCACTCTTTAAACTAGGGTTCACTTAGGATTGGTTTGACTTTCCCTTTAATTTCCGAGAGAGGCAACAGGGAGGGATCAGAGGGGGGGGGGGGGGGGGGTGCAGAGTAAACAGAGATTACATGGTAAACATAAACTATAAAATCATCAAAAATTATAGAATAAATAAAGCTTATATTCTAAACACATTATAAAGTAAAATAAGGTTAGGTACTTTCCAAAAGGATTTTTCCCAAGTGGCAACTTCCCAATGGTATTGTCAACTTCCCAAATGTGCAATTTTTTCAAGCGGCAACTTCCCAAGTCTGTCCTAGCCGTAGCGCTAGGCCCTCAGCCTCTTTAGCCCTGGCGCTCGGCCCCCAGCCATGTTCTGGCCACGGCGCTAGGCCCCTAGCACTTCCTAGCCGCAGGGCTCAGCCCCCCCCCCTATTGCAGCTTACGGCGCCTCAGAGGGCCTAACCTAACCTTTGGGAAGTTGCTGCTTGAGAAAATTGCATATGGGAAGGTGCCACTTGGGAAAAAACCTTTAGGAAAGTACCTAACACCAGTAAAAATAGACTTTAAAGTAACCATTGATTACAGAATACTCATATATAATAGAAGTAACCAGAGATTATGGAGTAACCAGAGATTAAGGATTAACAATAGATTATGAAGTAACCATAGATTATGGAGTAACCAGAGATTATGAAGTAACCGTAGATTATATAGTAAACATAGATTATAAATTATCCATAGAATATAGAATAACCACAGATTATAAAGTAACCATAGATAATAAAGTAACCATAGATTACATAGTAACCATAGATTACATAGTAACCATAGATTATACAGTAAACAGAGATTATAGAGTAACCATAGATAATACAGTAACCATAGATTATACAGTAACCATAGATTTTAAAGTAACCGTAGGTTATAAAGTAAACATAGATTATATAATTACCATAGATAATACAGTAACCATAGATTATATAGTAACCAGAAATAATACAGTAACATAGAATAACCATTATAGAATAACCATAGATTATAAAATAAACATAGACTATAGAGTATAAGGTAACCATAGATTATATATTAACCATAGATTATAAAGTAAACATAGATTACATAGTAATCATAGATAATACAGTAACATAGATTATAGAATAACCATAGATTATAAAGTAAACATAGATTATAGAGTAAACATAGATTATAAAGTAAATATAGATAATACAGTAACCATAGATAACAGAGTAACTAAAGATTATATTGTAACCATAGATTATACGGTAAAAATAGATTATATAGTAACCATAGATAATGCAGTAACCATATATTATACAATAAACCTAGATCATACAGTAAAAATAGATGATATAGTAATCATAGATTAAACAGTATACATAGATTATATTCAACAGCAAAAAACAAACAAACAAAGATAATATTTTGCTTCTTGTAATCTTTAAATTTAAAATTTGTTTGTAACTTTTATGCCCTAAAGAGGGGGTTTAAGTGTTTTTTTATGTTTTCCTTTCTTAAAAGAAAACTCTACAGTTCGTCTTGGCAAATGTCGAAGTTACTCTGAGAGCTTGTGTATAGAAGAAAACTTGGCCCTGAGACTAGTATAATAGGGAGACAGGATAAACCAGTTGAAATATTGAATCATAAGAAGGATTCCTTTAAAGTGTTAGAAGTTATATAATAGGAGAAGATGGAG